CAACCCCAGCTCTTGCAGCTTGGAGACTGTCTGTTGCGCATTATGGGGTCGCGCGTTGTCGTCACTTATTGCATACAAAACGGCAATTTCATAGGTAAAGACCTATTATTACATGTGGAAATAATTGTTTAAGAAAAGAGGTAGATTGCAATAAAATAATGAATAATGAATTAATTTTAGTTTATTTTACATTTTTTTTATATTATTAAATACAAGAGATTCTTACTTTTAAATCTAAAAGAAAACCTTTTTATAATAATTTTCATGTATTTTATATATGTATTCAAAGAAAAATATGCTGATAAATTATTGACAACCTTAGGTACAGATTATAGAAGCAGTTATTCTATTAAAATAGTGTTAATAATTTGTCCTTAACAGAAAATGCACAAGCAGTTAACATTTCCAATATCTAATACACATTCCATCATTTATAATCACATAGGACCATTAAAACGTATCGTTAAACCTGTGGCATCCATTAGCCGTATAGCACAGTGCGCATGCGTGTGAGAATAACGTTTAGTATGGCAATATCGTTATGTCATCATAATTCATAACAAATATTTACTAGCAAGACAGAGTTGTTTAATTTAATATGATTTTTTTATTGATCTATTATATTTTTTATATTATAAATAAACCTTTTATAAAAGAAATACTGTAGACAAGGACAAAACGTGTTAAAAGAATATGAGCCTCTTCGTAATACTTACTTGGAATCTTGGAAGACGTTATTTCACTTGCGAAACATTAAAGTCATAATAACCGAGAAAGGAATGCGTAAAATCCTGCCTGTCGAATGGCTACCTACAACATTTAAGTATAATGTGTAGATGTGTACCTACGTAAACCGACGCATGCCGCGTTTCATTGCCCAAAATTAAAACAAAAATAATTATTTGTTTACTTCACTGGCAATACTGTAGCCAAGTGTCAAATAATTCATTCGTTTTTTGGAAATATCGGGCATCCATCTCTCTCGTTGCCTGTGTCGCTTCCACTTACAGACAGTTCTCTCTATGCTTATATCTCTGTGTAACATTAAATACCATTTCCAAAAAAAACGAGGCTTAAAATTTATAAAAGTAATTGACGTCCTTACATTACAGGGGAGTTCAAAAATTAATAATAATTGTTATTTAGTCATCCAGGCACACTGTAACTTTTAAAAGTCATCTGTCAAATGTTTTAAATTTTCGAAAGCGCTAAAAAGTATAATATAAAATCGTGGGCTCGTAGCATTGAAGGAGAGCCATTAAAATAAACGATAAAAAAATACTTTATACTGTTTTTTAAGACAAGGTCAACAATTTGACATCTACAATTGTAAGTTTAACAAAAAGTTTTTATTGCAAATTGTCGTCGAGACGGTTTTCTGTAATGGATGAGTCAGTAATTCTTTGATGGGATTCAATTAAATATAAATGACAATAAAGAACTATGTTTCAAGTCATTATTATTAAATTTGAAACAAGTTTATGTAAAATGTATTTTTAGGACAGATAATAAACCAAATGTTGACTAAAAACAGCATAACTAGGCTAACGAGATACTTGTCCGCATACACGTTACTTATGCTTCAAATTTTCCAAGAACAGAGGTTCTTAAAAATGTATCTTTTTGACATGATATAATGTAGGTTTTAAGGTTCATAGCATAGGCGGAACAACGATAAATAAGTGTCCAAATGACGGTTTTATTTTACGCAGGCCTATAACAATAGGTGATTTACAACATATTACGTTTCGCAACAAATTGTAAATCAGTTTTATCGCGTCGAATAAATAGAGATACTTTGTATAATTAATGATAAAACCAATAAATCATTAAAGAACAAGATGGCCTAATGATAGGTAGATATTAAGTTGTATTTTTCGGTTTAATTTTATTTGAAGATATTGTATTTAATCGTAAATGGAGAGTGAATGAATCGAAACTGATATATGTTTGCAGATATTCTACCATAAAATCCAGTTTTAGTCTAGACTACCGTGTGTCGACAAAGTTTTTAATATTGGTTGTCACAGATTAAAATTCCAGAAACTTATGTCGTTGTCCTTAGTTTTTTTTAATTCACGTTTGACCACTGTCTATGGTCAAACTCTTAAACTTTTCTTAACGTTTATTAAATGTATTTTTAATCTGCGGATTGTTGAATGAAATAATAATTAATCGTAAGATAGCAAACATACCACGTCTTTCATCTATTAAATGTATGTTTTATCGTAAAACAATTTCGTATCTACTAATTACAATACAGTTAAAACCTCAATGTTTTTCGCCTAATCTACAAAATTCATGACTGTGACTGACAAACTATAAAAAATAATAATTACATCTAGTAAACGATAATGTTACTACAAATGCTCGTGTAAGTAAACTAAGTTTATTTACTGTTTACATTTCACTTTTTTTCAATGTCAATTCTATAATTACATAATACCTATGCATTATTATTATATATATATATATATTTTGCTGTCTCAACAGAATTATTGCGCTCACACTAGGGACATAAGTTGTGTAATTGTAGGCAATCGAATTAATTACAGTAAATTCGTTGCATTCTAAGTGCAATTATTTAATATTTATTTTATAATTAAATAGGTATTTTTTAATGAATTTCGATATCTATAAATGCAAGTAGTGTTACTATATTGGGATACTAAAAATCAACCTAATTGTCTGTTTTATATACAAAAAATAACCCTCATCGACATAAATACAAGTATTTTTGTTAAAGATTTATTGTCAATTAAAATAAATTAAGTCATGCATTATTGTTATGCTTAATTATTATCTCAATGTGCATAATAATTAATGTAGATTAGAGAGGCCATATTTTTTATTGACTGTCTTTTTAATACCACTTGTTGCTTCCTCAACAGTATTTTTACACTGTAACTACCATACAATGTAATATTATTACATAAACAGTAATGCCGCACCTTTTTTTATAAAGCAACGTTAATATTATTTTAAATATATTTTTTTTAATTACCGAGGATGCTTAGAAATTTATGGAATTCTTGTATGTCCTTTTCAGTAATTTAAAAGTAATGCTTATTTATTAAAAGTTAATGATAAGAGTAAAGATACATCGGTAGGGTAAAGTTCCTTTAACTATTATAATAATAATAATAATAATTGGCGCAAACCTGTAGTATTTAGTACTAATGATCGTAGGGAAGTATGGAAGGGCAAAGAGCTCCATGGTCGGTTTTATCGGGCCCTAAACGGGTCCGATATAGACTTTAAAGCATCTACGACTTGGCTACGGTATGGTGATCTCTTCGGAGAAACTGAAGGTTTTGTTTGTGCGATTATGGACGAAGTTATCATGACGAATAACTATCGGAAATATATCCTGAAAGATGGTACGGTTGACATTTGTCGGGCATGCCACCGTCCTGGGGAATCAATCAGGCATATCATTTCTGGTTGTTCTCGTCTTGCTAACGGTGAATATTTGCATAGGCACAACCAAGTAGCCAGGATTGTACACCAACAGCTTGCCCTTAAATACCATCTTGTGAATCTAGAGGTGCCATACTACAGGTATGTGCCCGACCCAGTTCTCGAGAATGGCCGGGCCACGTTGTATTGGGATCGATCTATTATTACAGACAGGACTATTGTTGCTAATAAGCCTGATATTGTAGTGATAGATCGATTAGAGTGCCGCGCAATGATTGTTGATATCGCCGTTCCTCATGACGAGAATCTCGTGAAAGTTGAAAAAGAAAAACAAATAAAATATTTGGATTTATCTCACGAGATTGGCGATATGTGGAATGTCGATTCAGTGATAATTTTTCCGATAGTCGTATCTGCTCACGGATTGATTGCCAAGAGCCTCGACCAACACCTTAAGAGGCTCACGTTGGACGGCTGGATCAAGGGTCTGATACAGAAGGCAGTCCTCCTTGACACGGCTCGTATAGTGAGGAGGTTCCTATCTTTGCAGTCCTAACCACTGGTGTCTTGGTACCTGTACCCGATGTCGGTGGTCTACTATTTTTTATATTTTTAAATGTATTTTTATTTCTTTTGTAATATATTTAAAAATGTAATTAATATGTATATATAATTTAATAAAGAGAATAATAATAATTATATTAGAATATATTATTATTATATATTCTAGTGCCTTTTATAATAGGCGTTATGTGGTCTATATCTAGTCCCAAACTAAGCAGAAATTGTACTATAGGTACTAGACAACTGCTATATATACATATATACTTATTTGTATTTCTATACATACATGCATAGAAACACACAGACCAAATCAAACATTAAATGTTCATGCACACAAATTTTTGACTTATGCGGAATCGAACTCGCGACCTTTAGCATAGGAGTCTGTTACACAAACCACTACGCCATCCCTATTGGCTTGCATAATCCAGTTTCTAATTTTGTTGGCTAGGTACTTATAATAGCCTCTTTGTTAAGTCCAAGTACCTATCTGAAGATCTTATCTGTCTCTATCTTATATCTTTGAGATAAGACTCTACTTACTAATCACCTTAAACCTAAAATAAACATAAAAAATACTGGAAATATTTAACCGCTTTTGTAATCCACACTATTTAAAAAGAAACTAGTTATCAATTTACTAATTTGCTTTTGCAAGCAAAAGACCTTAATGATATAACATTCCTTAATAGAAAAAGTAAATAGCTGCTCTCCAGAAGCACGCAAAAATAAACTTTGTGATTGATAATTTTCATTTTTAGGTGAATTAAAACCTACTGTTAAGTATCTGCTTGGTCTATGGTTTACACTATTGACGTTTTGCATAAAAAACTTTAGTTCGACAAGAAAAACGTCGAAAGAAAGAGGTCGGAATAAATGTTACAGAATTATGTTTATGTTACAGTTTCGACTATTCAACACTGTTTCTCAAGTCGTAGGCGTCCCACTTATAAAATTGTCAAGTTGTAAGTTAAAACTGAATACCTAAGACCTGAATCAAATACAGACTTCAGTATTTAGAAAGGCGTCTTAAAAGGTGAAAGTCTCACTTTTATGCTTCGCAAAAACTCGTATCTTAGCGCGGCCTTGCCAAGGTAAATGCAAGGGGGACATAACGGTGCGCGGGCGCACCGGCCCCCGTCTACCTTTAAACACATCAATTTTAATACACTATCGTTCACTTTGCTATCCAATGGAGGTTCCCACAGCACCAATCGTACGTGCCTGCCAAGCTAACACGTAATGTACTACTCGCCAACACGTGCATCGTCGGCAATCAATATAGTTTTTGATACACTTCCTTTTAATAATGCTGCGCTGTACTTAATATCCGAGCTAATATGGTATTGTCGTTACACAAAATACAGTTCAAATTTCATACACGTAGTTATCGCCTATTGGAAAGTTTGAACTAACGGTCCATATCCCTATTTGAGTAAAGGACTGTTAGTTTTTGTATTGTTTTGTAAACAAACGAGTAATTTTCATCAACTAATTGTAAGTTTCATAAGAGCATTGTGGCATCATTGTGTAATCATCGGTAACTATATTGTCATCAACTTATCATGCAATACTGTTAATCTTATTGTTTTAAAGTAGGGTAACTATGCTGGCATTTTTCACAAGGACGTTTGCAAGTTATGTATAACGCTCTAATAAATATGGTAGCCAAATTGAGTATTCAGTCGAGGACATTCCAATTAAAAGTTGCAAAATATTAAGCGTAGGACGATTATTTAAAAAAACGTATAACTTTAAACATTGGTAAATCGTACATTTTTTGATATTCAAACAGGATTTTGTATTCGTTAGCTACACTTAGAGACACAATTCTGTGAAATAGCAAAACCGCAAGTTTTGGTATGTAATGAACCAACTTGACATTCAAAAGGCATAGGCACTTGTGTTGCAGCTGCATGCAACATAAAATGAGCCCCTTGTCTCATCTAAGAATTAATTGGCAAAAGGGAATTGCCCCAATCAAAAAGGGAGACTTACGATTTGACTGATCTCCGTGATCGGAATTGGTGTGATTGTTTTATCCGAGCTCTGGGGGAGCGATGAAGCACTGGGGGTCGGCGACACTCCAGGACTGGACTGGCCGTTGCCGACGCTCTCCTTTGAAGTACGGTTAGGGGACAGCCTCGCTGGAAAGCTGAGCGTCTTCGTCCATTGTGATAAGCTCCGCACCATCTTGACTGTTCATAAGCACAACACTCGTTCACTAAACTTTGACAGCGAGCGACACGCGCGCACTCGACAACGGTCCGCGGACGAATGAGGAGGGCAATAAAAATACAGCCTGTGCAAGTTGCGACTTGACCGAGTAGGGGGGGCGTAGGGTGGCATGGCGATACGTGCGCCGCATGCATGCAGCGGCCACCTATGGGTTTGAGTTCGATGGATTTTCTTTTGTTTATTGGCCGGCTACCTCTTGTTTGAGCAAAAAGTTTTTAAGCGATTAGAAGTAGCGTTGATGAATTGGCACTTAATTTACAGTTTGCTTCGGTAATTTGATGTGAAAAAAATCCTTTTGTTGTTTCGCATTATGAACAAACGGATTTTTTTATGAATACATCTTATTAACGGGTAACTGAAAAATTTAAGTACGTTAAAACTGATTGATCACGATCAGTAGTATTGCCAAATATCCGGATTTTGACAGGACATCAACAGGACACCTAAATGTCTTTATTGTTTAAAAAAAAACCTTTAATTTTATAGCAGCTGCAATTATGTGTTTACATATTCCATGACATTTAGTCCCAGTTTATCAAATATTTTAGTTTAATGCCGTTATTTGCCATAAATATTATAAATATATATAAAATATTTAAAAACATTTTATTTTTAAAACATACTTTTTAAAGAACTTTATAAAAGATATTTTATAAATACATACATTTAAGTTACAATTATATATATATTTTTTTAATTATATATATATAAGTTACAATTATAAAATATTTGTAACATTATGTTTATTTTGTTTCATAGTCACTGATAATATAGATCTCAAAGTGTGTACTTGAATTATTGTCTAGTAAGTTAGTTAGTTAGTTAATGCAGACAGATATGGGTAAGAATGAATTAAATACATTTTTATTCTGTTACTTGCCAAGGATCGTTTCACAATTAAGACCATAAAGTATACCCTAGTGGTCCTCGCTGCTAAGCCACAGGTCGTGGCATTTGCGACTGACGGAATAAATTTTTTCGTATTTGTATAGTGTACACTATACATTATATACTACTATGCGTGAGAAGATGCATTGCATGATGTAGTATGAATATTTCAGACGGGCCTGTTGGTCTAGTGGTTAGTGACCCTGACTGCTAAACCAAAGGTCGTGGGTTCGATTCCCACTCAGGACAAATAATTGTGTGATAAGCACGATCATTTGTTCTATGTCTGGATGTAATTTATCTATAATATGTATGTGTTTAGAAATATATAAGTATGTTTATCAGCAGTCTGTTTACCGTAGTACACGCTTAGTTTGAGGACAAACTGTCTCTGAAATGTATGAGATTATTATTATAATAATTTGAAACCGTATACCAGTAGGAAAAAGTATTCATATAAACTAAAGTAAAAAAATCCTTAGGCATTAAAAATAAAGCATACAAGAAAGCGTCAATATCCCTAGATACCTAAGAAAAGAGTAGCTAAGGCGAATATCGCCTTAAAACACAAACACGCTTCGAATCGTCACGTTCATAAAAATTAGCAACGGCTTATAAACGCAGAAAATAACTGCACATAACGAGGGAGGGACCCCACACACTACGATATGAAAGCATAAAGAACAAGGATTTCGAGTATGGTCTCCCTTTATTCAAGTTGTATGACATTTAGGGTTGTCATTATTGGAATGGCAGAGGTCAGCTTTCATGAAATATTACATTGTTCTTTATAAATAAATAAGGCAAAACATACAAGGGTTGTCTAACTATTATACACGGTAGCTACGATAGTATGATAAATATTCCAAAGTAGACATTTGACTGCATGGATGGTAGTGGTTTAAGCTTCTTGCTATACCGAGTGTTGTGGGTTTAAACCCCACATTGAACGACACTTTGTGTGATCCACAAATTGTTGTTCTGAGTCTGGGTATTCTTTGTGTCCGTTTCATGTATGTTTGTAAAGCCTCTCGAAACACAGGATATATTCCTAATGCAGGAGTTCTTTTTTTAAAATAAAGCGGTGGTTAGCTTATCATCATCAACGTCACCTTCCTACCCTTTTTTATTTATTTTGGGGTCGGTGCAATGAGCTTTCTTATTCCATTCTTCTGAATCACTCGACATCCTCTTTTATTTCCTCGCAAAATGGTTTACCTTTTTTATACATTAACTATAGTTTTATTTATGCATATATTTGTCAAAGATTACTAAAGTTCTTTGATGACTTTTATGTTTAGTAAAAAAACATATAATTTAGATTTATGGGGATAGAGTACATACCTACTTGTATGCGTTACAAAAGTATACTTAATAAAAACCTGAATAAGATGTAAATGTCGTTAATAGTACACGTGTGACAGCCCTATTGTAAGTATTGTATCAAGGGGTGCAAAGACGCAAATCCAAAACAATGGGTGCGCAGGATTGCGTGTCGCTTCCTGACGCCACGTGCGCGCGCAGCTGACGCCTGTAGCGCAGCGCATGCGCACTCAAGGGCGAACCGGAGTAGTTTTTCAAGGAAAGTGGATAGATGCTGGCAAGATGGCTTTGTTTTTACTTCCTTTAGAGAAAAATAGATAGTTTAATTGTAAGTAAGAGTTCAAATCTTCTTGTTTTCTTTTTAAGGGTCTTTCTTTGTTTTTATACAGTGCAGTTGATTCTAAGACAATCTATCTTTTAAGAGCTTAGTGGCGTTGAAGATTTGTGACTTCCGTTGCATTTTAAACTTTAAAAAAGACCCAATCCACTTTATTGCATCTCTATCTCCATATAATTTATCTCGAAGATCAGAGTTTATATTAACTAATTAGATGATATGAAAATTAAGTGCTGTGCCTAATATAACTCTGAATTACGCATTTTTGTAACATTGGCAAATTGCTGCTTGCATGGTTGCGTAATCTTTTTAATTGCGTAAAGAAGGTCTACACAGAGAAGAAGAAGAAGAAGAAGGAAATTTGCGCAGTAACCAGATTTTTAATTAATAATGCTTCTTTGTTTATAAGTTACAATAATGATGATCGTCCGTGTGGTTATGGATTCAGAATACGGAGTGTTACCACTCCTATTCATCCCGTGGGTGTTGTAAGAGCCGACTAAGGGATCAAACTACGCAGGACAACAGCACAGTAAAGAGAATTAAAAACTGGACACACAAGCTACACCAACCCGCCTGGCCAGCGTGGTATAGTAGGCCAAAACCTCATTTCTAAAGAGAGGCATGTCCAGCAGTGGACTACTAAAGGCTCTTGATAATGATGATTAAAAGTTACAAAAGATGGGCACGTTGGTTTAGTTGACAGGCTGCTGTCTTCGTGGTCACTCACTTGCCCTGACTGCCAACCCAGAGGTTGTTTGTTAGGAAAAGACCATTCACACGGAAAAATTAATTATGTGATGCAGATGTAATTATGTAAGCATGTTCGTCAGTCTGTTCTGTGTCTGGATGTAATTATTCTATGTTATGTATGGATTTAGAAATATTGATTATAACTTCATTATAATAATAATATAAGTATGTTTATTATCAGTCTCGTTACCAGCACAGGCTGTGCCTAGTTTGGGATCAGACAGCCACCCGGGCCAAAGCCAAAAATTAATGTACCTATTTTACAATTTTTATTATACATATATTTTCATTTAAAATTAATTATTATTACTTACGTATTCTATCTCGGATCAATGATATTCGATGAAAGTGTCATCAATATTAGGAAATACAAGTCGTTGGTATTATATAATATATATATACATATATATATTTTTAAACCTGGGTAAGAAATAAACTAATAATTTGAGATTTCATCGAGTATCTTAAATAAATAAAAAAATATAGTTTTAAAAAACTAAAAAACAAACCAATTTAAAAAAAGCGTGGGGTGCTTTTTACTATTGACAACGGGCACCCAAATTAGGTTTTCTGTAGAAAGCGTGTTGTTTAGTTTTTTAAAACTATTTTTTTTAAATTAGTGTTTGTCATCGGTCCTCGATATATCTACAAAGTTTGAGTGAATTCTGACCGTTTAAAGTCAGTCAAAATCAAGCCCAAAGGAGCCGGGTACAAACATACAAACAAACATACAAGTGAAGCTAATATAAAGCGTGTAATAATATCTGGTGTCACAATGTTTGTTGTTTTAACTCGGAAACAGCTCGATCGATATTAATGAATGTTTTTTTTGTGTATTTGGTAGTTATAAGAATAGGTATATGTATAACACGGTAAAGTATTTTACACCCTGTTACCCCATTTTTAACCCGTATAAGTTTATTGTCCCATATGTCTGCAATGCACTTTTAGATATACTTTTCAATGAAATATTTATAAAATCCATTAGGTAAATACATTCTGTTAATATGTGCGTTGACATTTTTTTTTTTCTGCCGTCCTGTATATTGGACAGTAAAATATGGGTTAATTGCCGTGTCAGCTGACAGGCAGGGCTCCTTATGGCCCAAACACTACAGACACTGGAACTGAACTGAACTTATTGCCGTCCACCGCACTCACATTTAAAACGTTGCCTTGCTACGGCCCTTATTATATTAATAACCTCTTTTAATACGTATATACCTATAAGCCTATCACACAAAACGTAAAATGCATTCAATTCTTTTTTATACATTATAAGACCAGTTCATTCCCCACAAGATCACAAGTTATCAAATAACATCTAAACTAAAGATGAGTTTCTACAAAAAGGGGTTCATTAATATTCGAGATCCCTTTATGTACATAGGAGTACAAAACACACCCTTCTGTTGTATTGTTCTCACGATAGCAGAGGGTTAGGAGTGCACGTGGAGGCCTTAGATTTTGTGCTAAATGTTTTGGCAGCGAAAGGGGGATAGGTGATTTAAAATGATGTTTATTGCATGCTGTCATAGTTTAATTTATTACATTTTTGTTGCATTTATTTGTGACTAGCTTGTGCCCGCGACTTCGTTCTTAACGTTCTTTCTTCGAAGTTTATGGGGCAAACTGGGCAAAATTTGATGGGGGT